GCTGGGCATGCGCGGCGTCTTGCTGGGCTAACTGGTGGACTGCCCGCGGCACTGCGCACAGTCACGCGTGCTGGCGCGCGCTGGCGCGTTGCTGCGGTGCCGCTGGGCGTTACCGTATCGCATGCGTGCACTAGGCGACGCTGCGTGCGACCACTGAACGCACGTGCTGCGCACTGGCGTGCGTTACTGCACGCTGACTTGCATGACGAGGTGTTGGCGTGCGCACGCGCATCGCCAACGGCTATCTGCTGCGGTACCAGCCTTACGCGGCGCTTTACTGCGCAGTACGTGTACCACGTACCCCTGCCGGTACGCTGCTACCGCGATATGCGGGCAGCGCACATACAACCAACACTTGTCGGCCGTCCGGCGTTTCTTTCCGAAAACTTCAACGTAAAACAACATCACCTAACTCAACATGAACATAATCATCAAAACGACTTAAAAATATAACCTTCGCATGACCAACTGAACGGGCCGTGGCGAGCGCGCCGTGCGCCGCCGACGACGACGATAAGCCGTCTCCCGACCAAAACACCTTTTCCCTCGGCAACTCCAGACCATATGAACTTGAAACATTATTTTGAGGCAATTAAGACATAAATGCACGGAAGAACATGACTAGAACTGAAGGTAACAGAACATGAATTGGTACCGCCCGTGGCCACGCGCGATGTGCGCTGGCGACGGCTTCGGGCTATTTAACTCATAAAACAGCATTTTGCCTCGACCAACATGGACTAACTGGGCATGACATGATCTAAACTAAAAAAATAAACATGAATTGTACGAGAGTTGCCGGGTAGAAAAAGAAATTACTCGATCACGATTCAACTTAAGCATATTTGAACTTTAACATGGCAACACTAGAAATTCTTGAACATGACTCGAACATTTCAACTTAAAACGAACTCATTGACATGAAAATATACTGAGGATAGCTATACCTCTTGAAGTACTCGTCAGAATCTCGCAACCGATCGTGACCTTACGTGCGTGTGCGCCGTGCGATGCTTGACGTGCGATGCTGTAGGTATTGCCATGCGTGAGGAGTGAACTTAGCCTTCTTAAAGCTTGCTGATTGTATACAATATGTGGGAGGCGATATGCTGAATATAACTTATGGGAAAAGTGGGGAAAATTTCATCCAAACTCACCTTTATATACTATGGCCGAAGGTTAAGGTTGGTGACGAGGTGGAGGCGTGGCTTGCTTAAGCTTAAAACACTTGCTTCTAAACTAAGGACTAAGAGGGATTAGTCATCTACCAACACACCTCTTAATGCCACGTGTGAAGTTAAAAATTGGAAAAAATTAGTTCCTTAACCCTTAAGAAAGTGCTTACCAAATGGGGAATTAATTTGGTGCATACCGTACGGCTTTTCTTAGGAAATTTGGAACATTTCCTTGCCATAAAAAAAAAAAAAAAAAA